GCCCCCTGCTCCTCCACATCGAGAGGAGTGAGCTGAGGTGGCTTGGGCATTTACATCGCATGCCCCCCGGACACCTCCCTCAGAAGGTGGTCGTGTCCTGTCCCTCTGGGAGGAGACCTAGGACACTAGGCTGGGCTGGGTGCACCTTGGGGTCCTCCCAGAAGAGTGGAGGAAGTGTCTGGGGAGAGGAAAGTCTGTGTGTTCTTGCTCAGACTGTTGCCCCCTGTTGTGACCCGGCCTCAGATAAGCGGACGATGATGGATGGATAGATAGATATGTTAATTTTACACTGCCTTCAACCAATCTGTTTTTTTTTGTTTTTTGTTTTTTGGGGGGCGGGGGGGGGCAGTCTCTTGTTAAACATTTACAGCATTGGACAATATGCTACGTTACGTTGCAGTCATTCATTCCGGACCCCTACTTAGGGAACCTGTGTATGATAAAAAAAATACCCTGTTAAATTTTTGGTGGAATTAGTGAATAACATGGTGCTTTGTATATGAAAACGCACACGTCTCATATTGAGCTGAGAGAGGAGTTGGCAGCTGTACTTTTAGCCCTTTCATGCATGACGGTCACTACAGTGGACAGCTATTAAAATGTCATTTTCTATGATAAGAATAGGTTTTGATGGCAGTGTTGCATATAAGCCTCTACAGTGGATGCCTGAGAATCACCCAACACTGCCATACGGTGGTCAGCCTTTGCAACTGCAGAATAATTGTGTCAACATTCAAAAAGAAAATTTGGTGTATAAAAACAGAACCAAATCAGTTCTTATTTTTACGTCTAAAAACACATAAAAACACTTAGTAACATTTTTTTAACTCAGTATATCATGGGTCATGCATCAAAGGGTTAGGAGAAGTTGAAAGAAACCACAAAATACAGTCTGGAACAATAAATGCAGGTGTAACCAACAGCGCTCTTATTGCAGTGTGGGTCAGTCTAAGGCGCAGGGGCCAGATGCGGTTCGTTCAACATTTGAATTCGGCCCGCCAAACCTTTCCAAATGATATAAGTTATTTCTATTATCATTATACTTCTGCCTGTTTCCAGCAAGACCCACGTTTCCCCAATAGATGGCGTAGAAAATGATCAAAACATTTTAGCATTTTAGCCTTTATGCATGGCTTTTACATGCCGTTTATCTTAGTTCTCACAAAAACTCTGCTCCTGACCCGGCCCCCCTGTTAGGACACGCGATAGGCCTCGAAAGATGGCGAACAATGCCTGGTTAGGGCGAAGCCAGGGGGAAACTCTGGTGGATGCCCGCAGCGGTCCTGACGTGCAAATCAGTCGTCCGACCTGGGTATAGGGGCGAAAGAAAGACTAATCGAACCATCTAGTAGCTGGTTCCCTCTGAAGTTTTTCTTAGGATAGCTGGCGCTCAAACTATACTGTACTGTTCTGGTTGTTCAACATATTACAATCCTTCAAGCAATATTGTTTACATGTACCAAGCCTGTCTACCCTGTTGTTGAGTTTACTTTGAGTATTACATGTCTATCCTGCTGCTGTAACAACTGAATTTCCCTGGTGTAGGATGAATCTTAGCTATCCTATGGCATTCGGGAATCCGGCGATGGTGTGAAATCCTTGTTTAATTTATGCTTGTTGGTGTTGTCTTTATGGAAAGTGGATGTTGGCACCAGAGAAATGATTGCATCCAACACTGCCGGCATGATTCTGCTTAGTGTCAGCTGCTAAATGCCTCCGATCGCTCTCCAGAAATCCAAGGTTGGAGCGGAGCTCGATGTCCACTGTGATGTCTTTGGTGCGACCAGAGAAATGATTGCATCCAACACTGTCGGCATGATTCTGCTGCTAAATGCCTCCGATCACTCTCCAGAAATCCAAGGTTGGAGCGCAGCTCGATGTCCACCGTGATGTCTTTGGTGCGTTTTTTTATGTCTCGCTCCAACATGGGTTGTAAATTGCGTAATTCTATCGGTATGTTATTGCGGACACAGTGTCTGCTAAGAAGCCACTCTGTGCTCTCACTGAACAGATTTACGCACTCCTTGAAAAACGGGCACAGCATGCAATTCTTCAAATCCTCTAATAGCGCACTCTCACTGAACATACTTCCATCCATCCATCCATTTTCATCCGCTTATCCGTTACCGGGTCACCAATCGCCACCCAAATCACATTGCACTGTACCAACCCCCCAAACCTTCCTGCGGGTGGTGAGTCCACTGAAAGGTATTAACCGCCCTAACCGGGATTCGAACTTGCCCAGGAGGTGAACCCTGGGGTTCCACACCAATGACAGAGACCTTGCCTCTGGGCCAAAGCGCCACTAGGACCTAGGATAGTTGTTATACGTTTTTCAAGTTTTTCTTTCAGGTTGTCCTATCACAGGTCTTTTAGAGCTTGTCACATCAATCATTCCCAAATGTTTGCTGAATTACCAATTGGCAATTTTTATTAATTAGAGGAAACAGGAAACGTGTGAAGTTCAGATTGTTGAACTCTCTCTCCTTTAATGGTTTCTATTTAGTAGTTTCACTGTTCTACCACTAGATATTGTGGGCACACTTGGTCGGAGCTTAAATCTACACACTTGTCCGAAGCACAAGTTGATCGATTCCATTCTTTCCATGGCGATGTTCTTACGCACACTCTGGTTGATGAATGAGGTCATGACAAACACGTATTGTGCATTACTCCACAGCCGACTTTGTTTTGCTGATGTGTGCGTCCCAGCAGTGGAGGGTGTTTGACAGTGAGCACACGGAGGAGTGGATGGTTTTTGGCGGGGAGAACACGGACGACCTTGAACCGATGCAAGGTCGATTGTTTAATCCAGCACCTAACTTCATCAACTGCAGGTTTGTTTTTTGTTTTTTTCTTCATCCGTGTCTTGTTTGCCTTCTTTGTCTTTCTTTATCAGCCTCGTGGTCAATCAAAATAAAATCCCTCTCTTCCGGTCCTCCTCCAGGAGCTACCTGGACATGGCTAAAGTGCTGGTATTTCGTTACTTCTTCTGGTTTGTGCTGTCTGTGCTCTTTGTCACCGGAGCCACCAGGATATCTGTGTTCGGACTGGGCTACCTGCTTGCCTGCTTTTATTTTCTGCTCTTTGGAACCCAGCTGCTGGTCAAACCCTCCCGAACCCGCCTGGCCTTGTGGGACTGCCTCATCATGTATAATGTGGCGGTTATTATAGCCAAAAATATGCTATCTGTAAGTATAACGCTCATTAGTGTAGGTCCATTCTCTAGCTTCTTGTCACTGAGGGGTCTTTAAGTTGGTGGTGTTGTTGTGTAGAAGGCAAATGTGTGTGTATAAAAGCAGTGGTTCTCAATTATTTTCTCTCATGCCCCCCCCCTTGGGGACAGAAATGTTTTCAGTCCCCCCCTACCTTTGTTTAGTTAACATTTAATGCATACAGGTAGAGAATTATACAGCACTTCAATAGTTGTATGGCCAGTGAGTTAGAAATTATTGTTATTATTATTTTGTTCTGTGTTTTAGATGCAAAATAATTTTTTTTTCAAAAAGAAATATGTAAATAGTTGCCCGACACGAAGGATTCAAATAATGTGTTTGTGTCTGTTTCAGATCCTGGCCTGTGTGTTTGTGTTTGAGATGCAGAAAGATTTCTGTTGGGTCATTCAGCTCTTCAGTCTGGTTTGCACCGTCAAGGGATACTATGACCGTAAGAACACAAAAAGTCTTTTTCTGACTTTTGTACAATTACAAATATTTTCATTTTTCGTACTCACTGATATTGATTAACATCACCGAGGCTCTTTAAGTTTGTTTTTAATTACAAGAAGTGACACATGCTTTCAAGTACAACTAAGAGTATTGGAAATGAAGTATTGGGATCAGTCCATTCTTAGTACTAACACTTATTTTACTTTATTTGAGGAAATTGTTCAAGAGCTGTATGTTTGTGTGTCCTCACAGCCAAATCGGTGAGTGATAAGACCTGCAGCCTTCCTGTTGAGGAGGCTGGCATCATCTGGGACGGTATATGTTTCCTCTGCTTGTTGCTGCAGAGAAGAGTCTTCCTCAGTTTCTACTTCCTGCACGTAACAGCAGCTACTCTGACTCCAACTATCTGCATGTCCTCCCTCACTGCATCCATATATCTCCTCTTTGGCCTTCCTCTTTGTCTCCTACCTGGTAGCTCCATCTCTAACATTCTTCTACCAATGTATCCACTGTCCCTCCTCTGCACATGTCCAAACCATCTCAATCTGGCTTCTCTAGCTTTTTCTCCAAACCTTCCTGTCTGTGTTGTCCCTCTAATGACCATTCCTGATCCTGTCCATCCTTGCCACTCCTAAAGAGAATCTTAGCATCTTTAACTCTGCCACCCCCAACTCCGCCTCCTGTCTTCTGCGCCACTGTAAACCTTTCCCTTCATTAACTAAATAGATGCTCTATTCTGAATAGTGCCTGTAACACATTAGCTCTTTCCTGCTTCGGAGGCCCGACCATAGTTGGAATGTACAGGGGAGACTTAGTGATCTGCTCAAGGGGTGAAGCTAACATTAGCTCTGGGGCTAACTCCCTTCAATTTGTACTTGTCCGCAGCAGAGGTAAACAGAAACAGGGAAGTCGGGGTCTTAATTATCAGTTACATCGAGCACAGCAGTACATAAATTGCTCCCAACAGCCATTTACAGACAGACATACGCTACTAGTATAATACACAGTAGCCTACCAGAAACGTCATTGATCGCTAGTGGTATGCACTTAGTTAGCCCATAAAAATCCATAAATTAGCTGCATCATTGTTTAAGCCGCAGAGTTCAAAACGTGTGTGAAAAAAATAGCGTCTTATAGTTCGTAAATTACGGTAGTCGTTTTTGTAGTGGGTGTAGTAGTAGTAGTAACAGAGGACATAAATGATTGGTAACTGAAATGTTCTTTAACAACCTAGCTTCAACTACGCTTTCCCAAATCTTCATCGTATGGTTCATCAACTTTATCCCTCTGTAGTTGTTACAATCACCGTTCTTATAAATTGGCACCAGAACACTTTTCCTCCACTCATCAGGCATCTTGTCAGTCTCTAAAATTCTGTTGAACAACCCTTCCACCGGGTTTCCTGCAAAATGTCTACTCTTCTTCTCTTCATCATATCAGCCAGTTCTCTACTTTTTAATGTTCTTTAAACATCATTTATTTTATTTATTTATTTAAGTCAAATTGGTTGTTGGAATATGATATATATGTTGTCCCTCTAATGACCTCATTCCTATATACATATATATTCATACTATAAATGTCTCTTTTTTACCCACAGGGGGTTTGAGCTCTTTAGAGCCAGTATTGTGAAGAACATCAAGTTCCACCAACAGGCTGAGAAGAGGTCTCTGTCTCAGCTAAAGAGTTCGTAAGTGTTCACGGTGCAGTTTGTTCTTTTGTGGGGAAAAACAGCTTTTTCTTGGTTATGTTTGGTCTGATTAAGCACAACGCACTTTTGAATGTTCCCTTAAAGCTACAGCATACCACATGCTAACATTTTAGACACTTTTCAACAGCCTCAGCAATAACCTTTGTAATACAAAATCAGGAGAACTTCTGAAGGACTGTAAAGATTAGCTTAGCCACTCACGAGTGGAGTAGTCAGTGCAGCCTTATAATGTGAGCCTTATATGACTATTAAAGCTGTGTAAGGATTTAGAAAAAATGTATAGTTCATTTTTACCTTTTTTCTGCAAGGTAGATATAGTTATGTATTGTATATATAATGTGTATATATATATATATGTATATGTATATATGTATGTATGTATATGTATATGTGTATGTATGTATATATATGTATATATGTATATGTATGTATATAAATATACATATATGTATATATGTATATGCATGTATATGTATGCATATATATGTATGTGTATATATATATATATATACATATATACATACATATATATACATGTATATATATACATATATATAGATATATATGTATATCTGTAGTTATTACTATTACTGCATTTTTATTAATTAATTAATTATATAAAATTTTATGATTTATATATATTATATAATATATTATTATAAGTATTAAAGAAAAAAATCTTCAATGATCAAACACACACTTACATATTTTGTATAGAATACTCCCAGAAAAATATGCCCACTTTATAGCTGTAGTAGACACACATACACACACACACACACACACACCTTTGAGACACTCTCACTTTGACTTTCTCTCGTTGCATTTTTTTTCCCTCTTCTTCTGCAGGGTCAAGTAAATGCTGGACACAAGGAATGGAGGCTGTTGCACATTGACAGAATAATAAAGCAACGAGTACAGTGAAAAGACTCAATTATCTGTGAGAAGGTATAAGGCAGAGGGAAGCTGCACTCCCCAGCATTAGCTAATAGAGTGCTGAGTAAGTCTGTCAGTCAACTTGAGGGTTGGACTCGGTGCCAAAGGCACACACATGCACAGCTTGAAAGGATTGGTAGAAGATATACACAGGCCTAAGGCATACTTTCCTTCAGCTACCAGATTTGTTTTACGACATTTTAGAGAAGGCTGATCTTTCAGTGTGTCTTATATACACTGAGAGAAATACATAAAATAAAAATTTAAAAACTACTGTTTGCTTTATGAGTACATCTACCAGTGTATAAATTACAACTTTACTCAAAGATGCATCTCTGTAATTATATATATTATATAATATATTATTATAAGTATTAAAGAAAAAAATCTTCAATGATCAAACACACACTTACATATTTTGTATAGAATACTCCCAGAAAAATATGCCCACTTTATAGCTGTAGTAGACACACATACACACACACACACACACACACCTTTGAGACACTCTCACTTTGACTTTCTCTTAGGATGCAGAGAATTCGCGCCAGACAACAAAAATACAGAGATGGACACATCACAATAAGTGAAAACTCCAGAGATCCTCCAACTGCAGGTACAAAAGATGGTTCATTATACTGTTTTTACAATTACCATATTTCCTGGACTTTAAGTTGCTCTGAAGTTTAAGTCGCATCAGGCAAAAAAAAAAAAAGCATAATGAAGTAGAAAAGCCTCCCATATATAAGTCGCTCCAGAGTTGCACCAGCCAGCTAGAGTGCCCTCTAGCGCCTGTCAGTGTGAAAATAACAAACGTGAAATTATATATTTGGATATATGCCACACCTGAGTATAGGTCGCAAACCCAGCCAAAGGATTACCAAAAGTGCAACTTATACTCCAGAAAATACGGTATGATATGGACATAAGACACTAGGGAGCCTGAGGTAGTATAGTCCTATGATGTGTGACTATGTGCTGTAAGCCAGTTTAATTATCTCATCCTAAAAAAAAAAAAAAAATCTATTGCATTATATAAAATTAATTATTTTGATCAAAGTAGTTGCAGCAGTATGCAAAAAAAAAAAAAGAAGCTTCATGACACAAGTGGTACTGAAAATATTTTTTTGCCAAGCTCATTAGGCTCATTAGGGGTCACTGAAGCCTAGATTGTTAAAAGGGACAAATGTAGTTTGTTGTCACTGAGCATCATACATTTTAGAAACAGTTTATTTAACTATAAAGCTGCATGATTAACCCTTTCATGCATGACGGTCACTACAGTGGACAGCTATTAAAATGTCATTTTCTATGATAAGAATAGGTTTTGATGGCAGTGTTGCATATAAGCCTCTACAGTGGACGCCTGAGAATCACCCAACACTGCCATACAGTGGTCAGCCTTTGCAACTAAATGACATTTTAATAGCTGTCCACTGTAGTGACCGTCATGCATGAAAGGGTTAAAGACGTGTGCATTTGAACATAAGAATCGCAAAGTGACAAACAGAAATAAAATTTGGAAGTCACAAATGGCACTTCATTACAGAAGAAATTGAAAAACAGCTTACAACTCCGCCGTGCTGTTTTATTGTAGATGTTTTTCAACACGGCAATACAGTTTTACTCATAACCAACTATTTTCTTTTACAGAGTCTCAAACCGAAAAAAAGTCTGGAAAGAAGAAATGGTTCCAGCCATGGCTGGATCACGCTACAGGTTGGACATCCATATATATATATATATGTATATATATATATATATAATATAAAACATATATAAATATATAAATAAATAAATATATATTACGGCATGCCCTTCAAGAAATTAATCTTTGAATATATGTACAAAAATCCTGAATATATATACAAAAAGTATGGATATATATATACAAAAATATGAAGCGTATTTGACCACACTGTCCGTATCGGTGCGCAGCTATGCCTGCACAACCGGCTAGGCTCCTGTATCTTGTGCCAGAGGTGGGACCAAGTCCTTGCTTTGCAAGTCACAAGTAAGTCTCAAGTCTTTGCACTCAAGTCCGAGTCGAGTCTCAAGTCAAGACAGGCAAAGTCCGAGTCGAGTCCAAGTCAAGACTGAAAAGTGTCAAGTCAAGTCCCAAGTCCTGCAGTTTCTGTTTCGAGTCCTTTCGAGTCCTTTTCAAACAAAATAACAATATATTTACACAGATCACTTTGGGTTTTGGAGAAAGTCTCGAGTCATGTCGAGTCAAAGGGCTCGAGTCTGAGTGAAGTCACGAGTCAATGATGTTAAAGTCCAAGTCGAGTGGCAGGTCTCTTTACATTTGGTCAAGTCGAGTCTGAAGTCATCAAATTGATCCAAGTCAAGCAACTCGAGTCCACACCTCTGTCTTGAGCCCACGTAGCGGGGCGTATAAAGTGGTCAGGATTTTTGTATATATATTCAAAGATTAATTTCCTGAACGGCATGCCATATATATATATATATATATTTATATTTATATTTATTTATTTATACGTATATCATCTATTTTTGTGACAGTACTGCACTCTGGAGATTACTACCTCTTTGAATCAGACAGTGAGGATGAGGAGGAGCTGCAGTCTGAAGAACAAAGACCACAGAAACAGACAGCCTGTCAGGTAGGTCTTTACACCTGAGAATGAAACTAAAATTTTTTCTGGAAGTATTTCATGTATTTCATGTATCTCAGTTGGCATACCAAGCCTGGGTGTCCAGTGTCAAAAAAGCTCTGCGAGACCGTCAGAAAAGGCAACAACATTTGAGAAGGATTGCAGCAAAAGAAGAAGAAAAAGACGGACAACAAAGAGTGGATTCCAAACAGGATGCTCTTTCTGTAATAGGTTAGATTTTTTTTTTCTTCTATTTAAAATGTGCAAATTAAGGTAAAATAAGGAAATCAAACTACCCAGATAGTAAAATGCCACAGCATTAATGTGCTGTATTTTCTGGCCCTTAAGTTCCTTTTTTTTTTTTCATCCATTGGCTGGGTATGCGACTTATACTCAGGTCCGAATTATATATTAAAATATATAATTTGGTTCAAATGTTTGTTTTTTCACACTGACAGCCACTAGAGGACACTCTAGGCTTGTGTACCAGTATCTGCTACTCCTGTAAGTCGCACTTTGTTTTATCCTTTGGCTGGTGCGACTCTGGAGCAACTTATAAGTGTTTTTTTTTAAATTATTATGGAGTTTTTGGCTGGTGCGACTTATACTCTTGAGCGACTTGTAGTCCGGACAATACGGTAGTATTTGTACTTCACATATATGCACTTGTTAATTTAATGCTGCCTTGCTGCCCTTCCACCTGGTCTCCTGCACACACAAAATGTCTACTCTTCTTCTCTCCATCCCATCAGCCAGTTCTCTACTTTTCCCTGTCATTGTACCTACATTCAGAGTTCCAAACTTCAGACCAACACTTCTGTTCTTTTCTCTTTTCTCTCTTTTTCTCCTAACCAAACGCCCTCCTCTTCGTCTCTGTTAAGAACATGATATACATCACGTGATTAAATCACATAACTTGTTGTTTATGTGGAAGAAAGCTTATAATGTCAGACCAACGTTAGAGCTAAAGATGCTTTTTGTTCCTGTCTCTGTGTGTAGTTTCTAAGGATGATTTGTCTGAGAGGCCGGTATTTCAGGAAACCAAGGAGGAGGAAAAGGAGGCAGAGGATGAGGTGTCCAGTAGGTTGACATTGTATATTTACATTATAGTTTGTTTGTTTCAAAACGTACAACAACACTATCACCTTGACACTCAATGTTTATTTATACTGTATACATTTACTTAATGATTTTTTTAAAAAATGTACTTCAATGTATGGCTGGGTGATGAATCGAATTTCGATCTTGATTAAGATTTTTGGTTTCCCACGATTACGAAAACAAGATAGTTGGAACAATTATACTAATATAATTAGCTCACACTGTGATTAGTTGCACCAGTAATGGCACATTACTCTTTGTTTAAGATGTTCTTCTTTTGCTGCAGGTCATGGCGAGATGGTTCAGCGCATCTTAGACATTCTTCGTTTTTTATGGGCCATAGTCCTGGCCATGGTGGATGGTTCGTCTCACTGGCTAAACTTGCTGACCAAGCAGTACAGAGATATATCATCAGTTCTTTGTACCGAACGTTACTTCATTATGCACAAAATAAAGCAGGTATTTATGGGTTTACTTTTACACAACTGCAAGGTTAGGGTTAGTCTTAGGAATCCTTATAAAGTGCGAGCGCTCTTTATCATCAAGCGGGCCAGAATCGGCCCTGATCTAAGGCTTCAGGTTTGTTTAGCTGTTGTGTTTCCACTTTTTGAAATATTTATATTCTGTGTTTCCACTTTTTGAAATATTTATACTCGGGATGCCCGATATGAACTTTTTGCCGATATTGTCCAAACAATTTCCAATTCCGATATCGACAAATATAGCGGGGCAGTTGTGGAAGTGTTGCCTGCTTATTAAGGTGATGGGTTTAAAACAGTGTTTTTAAATTATTTTCTAGAACGAGTTACTGCAATTGTGTTTCAATAAAAGTTCTTCAGAGCACTGAGGCATCTGACTGGTCTGCCGATAATATTGGTCGGCCGATATTATCTGACATCCTTGATTTATACCAGATTTTCTATGTAAAACAAGTCAAATTTATGTTGCTTTTATACAGTTCTAATTCTTTTTTTTTTTTTTTAAAAACAATTTTTTTTTAAAAAACAAACAAATTAGGGAGTACATTAGAATAAACCAAAATCTTAGACTTGGCTTAAAAAGACTTTAGAAAAGATTAGCATTTAACACTGTGAAATTTCTTTAAGACAGGGTTGTCAAACTTATTTTGTGTTCAGGGGCCACATACAGTCTTATTAGATTCAGTGATTTAGTGAAATATCATTTTACAGAACATCGTGAACATGAAGCGTTTGTACAATTTTTAAGTTTCAAAATCCATTAAGTGGGCTGGTTTTGGCCCACCTTGTGTTTAACACCCCTGTTTTGAGGCTACTCCAACAAAGAACCAATAACATTTGAACAACAATAATACTCGTTTTATTTTGTGTCTAGTAGTGAAAATAATGGTGTTGATGACATTCATCTCACTTTCTCCTAATCTCTATTATTAGCATCATACAGCAGCAGACTCTACAGATGATCAGATATCCGTGGACAGTGAGAATCCTACCCTGGAGACGTGTTTGGACGAGACTGATGAAACCTCCACGAGATACAGGTAAGTAGTTTAGAAATTACTTGGTTGCACTTGGTTTTTTCTATATTGTCTGTTGTAATTCTGTGTGCGTGTTGTTTTTCAGCTGCATGGAGCCGGGCAGCAGTGGGATCCTGGGGGCGTCTACTCCCAGGCCACAGTTTAGCAGCACTGCCAATCTCCTGAGTCCTGAACCTCCTACCAGCAGCATTGAGCTGGTACCACAGGCATTCAAAGATGAGCACCGGCACTCCAGAACAGCCAGTGAGCTGCTGGGAGACAGGTTCAGTTACTACTACTACTACTGTCATTCAGTTAGGTTAGACCAGGCGTGGGCAAACTTTTTAACCTTGCGGGACACAATTGTCCTAAAATTGAACAGGGGGGTCCAGGTCAGGAGCAGATAGATTCGTGTGAACTAAGATGAACGTATAAAAGTAAAGTAATGTAAAAGTCACACATAAAGGCGTAAATGCTAAAATGCTTTTATAATTTTCTAAGCCATCTATTGGGGAAATGTGGGCATTGCAGGGAAAAGGCAGAAGTATAATAATAATATAAATAAATTATATCATTTGGAAAAGTTTGGCGGGCCAGATTAAAAAGATGAACGGGCCGCTTCCAGCCCCCAGGGCTTAGTTTGCCCATGCCTGGCTTAGCCCAAAGTTTAATGTTACTTCCTGTACCATTTAAAATGACATAGTGATAATTATGATGATTAGAAATTGAATTATGTGTCAAATCAGACCTATTATAATCCAGTGGTGTGCCATGTATTTTTCACAGAGACATTTAGTGGTGTCCTACCCGAACGAATTCACATTATAAACCATCAATATTACGCAGAAATATATAGTATAACCTGTGATTACATCCTAGATTCAGCTACCACACTGCAACATAATCCGCATCTAAAAGCATCAATAATAACATAATACAATTACAACATTGTTAAAACGACTATTTTACGCAGCAAAACTTCTGATTATTTCTACAAAAAAAAAAAATCCATCCTCCTCTCTTTGTTGAGTTCAGTTACTCTCTCGTACGGATTATCTGTGTTCCAGTTCTGTTTCTATCTCCATCCTTGCTAATGCTGGAGGTCTAATGCTAATACTGTCCTGTCGTATTTATAGCATCATTTTAATTCTATTTAGGCTCATTTATTGCGGTTTGTTGTTGTGCATTTTTGGACCATCCAAATCTGATCACTCATATCGCCAATGTAATCTGATCTTTTTGCTTTGAGATACGAGTAAAGATTTTAGATACGAGCACGCTTACTGACACCTAAGTGGCGGTCGACTTCCGTACGCATCTCCCTCGAGTCTTCCGTATTGTGTTATCTATGTGATTTTTTTCTCTATTTTGTGCATTATTCTTCCTAATAGTGATGAGTCCTAAGAGAGTGAGTGTTAAGGATGGTAGTGAGAAGAAGAAACGCACGATGACCATGGAACTAAAGCATGAAATTGTCCATAAAAATGAACGTGGTGTCCACTAAAGAATCAATAAGAATTGATAAAAGCAAAGAAAAAAAATAGAAAAGTAAAAAAAAAAAAAAAAAAAAAAAAAGGAAGGTTAAGTTAATTCCAAATTTATCTAAGATAACGTAGTGTACGTGTAAGGTACTCCGCTATATCCCCCCACATATACCGCCATTAGCCGCTACCGTATCATCTGTTTAGAAGGTAAGCACTCATACTTAAAACCATATTTTATATAACAGGAATCCTTATATACTATACATTTTTTGTGTTTCCACTGTTTTCCACTGTGATTCCATTGTTATTAGCACTAATAAGGGAGATTTTAGAGGGAAGGGATTCATTTTTTTTCTGCTATTTCTAATGGAAAAAAATAATTAGATATACGAGCACCTCGATTCGAGCTCGGTCCTGGAACGGATTATGCTCGTAATCTCGAGGTGCTGGCCGTATAAGGCCGGAATAACTGGTTTTTGCTTTACTAACTGGACAGCTCCAGAAGACAACTGCACAGTTGGACCTAAGATCTGAATGTCTTCTCATTCAAAGCACAAGAAAAAGTGATGTGAAGTGTATCTTCAGTTCCATTAGTAAGGTTGACATTTGAACGTGTTTAGAAACTTTCACTTGAAAGATCAGCATCTGGCCTAAAATTAAACAGCCTAACAGTGTCGTCTGCACAAATTGCAGTCATATACTGCCTCAGACATACACTACATACGCCTAACTCCCTATTTAACTCTCCAGACAGTTCTACATTGAGGAGCTGGAACAGAGCAGAGACTTCTACAACAACCAGAACCGTCTGTTGAAGCTGCTGTTCGCCATGTACAACCTGCTTGCAGCAAATTCTGAGCTGGTGTGCTATTTCATCATCGTGTTAAACAACGTGGTCAGTGCCTCTGTCATATCACTGGTCCTGCCCATACTGGTCTTCCTGTGGGCTATGTTGGCAGTGCCAAGACCAACAAAGAGGTTCTGGATGACTGCTATTGTCTACACAGAGGTATGAAGGCTGAGACACACTCTATAACCCAGTTGCACATTCACTCCTAAACTTACATTCACCACAGTGAATTTGAACAGTGTATACATTTTAAACAGTTCATTCCAACAAATAAGGCTATTCACTTATAAATAGACCAAGAACACAAACAGCATCCTTGGGTAATAAGCCTGATTATTTATATGTATATATATGTTTGTATTTATTTTTGTTCTATTTTCCTAGAATCCCAACAGTATTGCATATGGTAATTGTAAATATTACATTTCTTCTTCTTTTTCTTTCGGCTTTGTCCCTTTTTTTCAGGGGTTGCCACAGCGAATCATTGATTTCCATCTCTCCCTGTTCTCTGCATCTTCTACTCTGACTCCAACTATCTGCCTGTCCTCCCTCACTGCATCCATATGTCTCCTCTTTGGCCTTCCTCTCTTTCTCCTACCTGGTAACTCCATCTCTAACATTCTTCTACCAATGTATCCACTGTCCCTCCTCTGCACATGTCCAAACCATCTCAATCTGGCTTCTCTAGCTTTTTCTCCAAACCTTCCTGTCTGTGTTGTCCCTCTAAT